ACGAAGATACCTTTTTCTCTCAAATAAACTCTCTGTATTTTTCTTTACAAAGGCACGAGAAAACTCCAGCCATGAGCCTCCTCTATATATACTAATAAATAGCACTTTCTTAACCTTAAAGAAACTTTCCTTGTGATTATCCTATCCTTATTTTTTTTCTAAAATATAGTTTTGAAATATCTTTCTTCTTTCCTCCAAGTAAATATNTCTTTCCTTTTTCTAACCCAATCCACGCTTGTGAATATCAATACACGAACTCCTCTCCACAAATCACACAACTCAGGTTCTGTATCACTTTTTGTAGTAGTCTTTGTAGTATAGTCGACTGGTACAGTAAAAACTCTAAGTAACTCCTCTCAGAAGATAGAAATCGGATTATTTGCTGGTTATATAAAGAACATTTATTTGTGTATATGGACATTAAATTTATTCAATGAATTTACATTTACGTCGTATAAACATGTAAAAAACATGTAGAAGCAACATTTGTACTCCGCAGAGTGAACACTTGTCGTCTTTGTTGTAAGGTCTATTAATTTCAATGTAGTATTATTAAATTATTAGCAAACAGCAAACAAAAACAACAGCAAACAAAAATTTATTTAAATATGCATGTGAATTAAATTGCTTTCTTAAATTTTTGTTGGCGAGTAATAATTAATAAAAACACACAGAAAAGGGACTAATTAATCAGATTCCAAAGTCATGATTTAAGAAAATGTGTTCTATTATAAAGACCCGCACCAAATACCGAGTAAACCCACTATAAAACACAAAGTTGTCTCTCTGAATCTCTTTGCTCAATCACTCACATTTAAAGAAGTATATAGCTTCAATCCTCTCACCAGCTAATTACAAGTTTTAAGATTCAGATCTTGATTCTTGATGGACAAGTTAGAGAGACGAAGCGAAGAAGAAACTTATCTATGGATTCCATTTCAGTTCCTCGACCAAACTCTCAAAGCTATATTAAAGTGTCTTGGTCTTCTTCATAATGATTCTCCGGCAGAAACGGCGTCGTCTCCGGTTACTTTAAACCAGCCGGTAAGCTTTCTTTAACAATAATTTATCAGTTTTCCAGAGAATATTTTAGATTAACATGGGGTTATTAATATCTTGATGTTTGATTATATACTAATTTGTGGAATCTAATTAAGGGGAATAATTTAATATTTTCTGTTTTAAGTTTGAAAACATATTTTAACGTTTTAATGAGCGTTGGTATAACGTTTTAATGAGCGTTGGTATACATATATTTTTTTAATTTCTTTCAATTATTTTTGAGTTAGTTCTTTTTGGTTTAAACACAGCAAATTAAAATTGAGTGATAAAAGGATTATGTTATAAAGGTCACTATATAGTGAAATAACATATTGTCGCAGTTTCTTTTTTGTTTAAAAATATATTAACATGTTTGATGTTTCTAGAAGTGTTATGAAATGAATCCAAACATGTGTTTGCAATTGCAGGAGGATGAAAAAGAAGAGGAAGATGTTGCCATGGAAAACGACGTCGTTATAACGACTAGAAGCAGCCAAAACGGCGTCGTTGTGAGGAGTAGAGGAAC